AATGAAATATAGCAAGACCTGCATTGGCTACTCAGAAAGTTAGTAGCCGGTGGTCATCGGGTTAATAAAGAAGATAAAACTCCAATGAAACAGGTTATCACCAACAAACTAAATGTATATGTATTAAAATGTTAAACTGCAAATCACTTTTAAAAACTATCTGTTGTTGTAATATAATATTAAGCAACTTAAACACAACAGAGTACATGGAAGTTTTTTAGCATGTATTTCTGTCAATGAAGTCCACAACTCAGGTCAATATTCTTATCATATAAGCTTGTAAAAGCCATTCTCCTTCATATGCTGATTAAGTTGCAAGAGAAATTCTTAAGACGTGATGTTTTACTCAAATTCAACCAGATGGATACCTTTTTTACTAAGAAAAAGTCTTATTATCAGAAAGATTGAAATTTGATGTAAATTTAGCCTTAGACATAAGATACTTAAAAATTGTCAAATAAAATTGTATTATCATTTTGTCAATTATTATTAGCTAATCCTGTATTAGTCCATTTAATAATACCTCCAAAGTCATTCATGTATAGTAGTATAGACCAGTTGATTTACATCTGTACAAGAAATGTTGCAGTAAGTGTGGGTTAACTTGTGAATGGTAAAATGAATGAACAGCTTTAAATTTTCAGGTGGTTCTTTCTGAAAAAAATCAAGCTTGCATTATACAAATGTATTATTTTACAAAGCAATACATCTCCAAAGTGTTCAACCTAGATTTAATTGACTTATCAAGTCCATGGTACTATTTTACTATATATATATTAAAGATTTAGTCAGTTGTTTTCCATCTGTGTGTGCTACTGACAAGAGATGTTTATAATTATCATTTAGCATATTAAATCAGCTTGTAGCTTTGTGTTTATGTACATCAAGCCAACTCCTCCCAAAATTCTGATGTTACCAAGTCCAAACTTGGCAGATGAATTTGAGTGGTCCCCTTACATGTGAAAGAGGGAGGAAGGCCACCAAGTCGTAATGGGAGTTCAAGAGTAGGTTTCACATGGTTCCTAGATCCAAATCTAGAATTAGATTTTGTTTACTGCTCCCTCTCCTCAGGATCCTAGAGATATCTTGTTTGAAACTAATCATACCACCACTCTCATGCTAGCAGGACCAATCTTTGCACGTGTTCAGATACATGGGTGGGTGTTCTAATCAGGTATACTTTTTGTAAAGACTCCCCCTGGGGTAGCTGGAGAATAATTTAGGATAATGGAAGAGATTGATCAGCACACAGCTGAGTATATGTATGTTGTGCTAGTGTATGTAAAGTAAGTTAAAGCTAGTGGGGGGGGGAGTTTGCTGCATTTCATGTATTTCTAGAAAGATTAAAAGTGAAATTTCCTGGAAAACATTTCTAGAATAATTCTTTGACTGCTACTTCTCTCTCAACACAACTACATGATGTTGCACAGATTAGAAGCATACAATAATAAGTAGTATTGCATGTAGTTTCAGAATTTTGAAAGAAAATAGTTTAATTCTCTTAACCCACTAATCAAATTGATTTCATTAATAATATATATATCCAACAGTATATAATAGTTCTGTTGTTGCTTAACAGGTATGGCAGAGAACAATGCATCATGGTCACGAAAAGCACATTTACATAGAGATACCATGTTAGCTGCTGCATCTATTTATAAAGGTAAGCATTTATTGAACATACTTATTCTCGCTACAGGCTCAGTTGAATTGACTGAGTTCATGACCCCGAATTGACCTTTATGCTATACCTTCTACTACGTTTTTAGTAATTATTAAGAGCCATTTGTAGACAACAAATCAGAATTTTTAATGAAATATTTTCACTAGAAATTTCTCCATGAATATATGGAGACAAAATGTTGACTGCTCTAAGTGCAAAGTGATTTTCATGTTAAGATTAAAAATACTTTTCTTCATCTGAAAAATCTCAAGTTTCATTTGCTTAATATCTAAAACCTAGTAAATACATTTCAAACGTTTTTTTCAATAACTTTGTATTTTATCTATCCTAACTCTATACAGGGTTGGTCAATTTGATTGACCTCATAACCACCAAAAAAAATTTGAAAAAAATCTAAATTACCTTTTTTTTTCTTTCTAGAATGACTTCACATTGTAACACGAAACTACATAAATCTGTTTATCTTAAAATAGCTTTAAACTTGTAGCATATACATCTGTTTATACTTAAATTTTATTGTTTTATTGCCTTTTGAACCCTGACTGATATTCCTGCCATAAACTTTGTAAATTACTTGTTGAATTTGCAGCTCAAATTACAATATTTAATTACATAATGCACAAGTTGCTTGTGAGCATACCTTATGAAAAATTCTTATTATTAATATTACACATGTAAAACAAAAAATAAAGTACTCACCTGTGTCTTCTTTGTTTTATGTTGATGGTACTTCTGCATTAAATAATGCACCAAAGAACACAGAATAATCACGTGCAAAAAGCAGACAATATCCCTTAACTATCTCAGTTTTTCTGGCTTTCTAACAATGCAACAAGATTCACTAAAAATTCACTTAAGCTTTTCGATGTGTTTCCCATGGGAATAAAGTTTGAATAAGAAGTGAAATAGATAATTCTCTGTACAGAAAACAACATAAATCTTGGCTTTTTATTGGTTATAAAGAATATAATATTAAACTTCTGAGAGGATGTGACAGGTGGGTATGGTAAGAGGGACCTGATTTTCTATTTGATGGCTCTGCAACTAAATATGATTGAAAGCTATAAAAATTATGCTCAGCCTGAGCAATAACAACATTATAATGAATAAGTAATTTTTGTTAAATCACATACTTGGAGGGGTGGTAAATAAATTAGAGAAGATGGAGATTCCTAGAGAGAAAATGTCACAATTCTCATACTAGGGGGAATTTAGTTGTTTTTTTAAATATTGCCATATAAAATTATGAACTTCAAACTTATATACTATTAAAATTTGGATTATTAGCTGCATTTTTATGGAAAACTTATTCATATACCAGGATAAAAAAGGAGTTTAATTAAATTTTTGAATGTAACTCACTAAAACTTCGCGACATGTGCAAGAAAAGTTGCCTGTAGTGAAAGAGTTAAAACTATATGTGATTGAGGCACAACTTTATATAGTATGAAATGGTACCTAGTTCTAAGTACTAGCTTTTATAATTTCTATTAATTAACATTGCAAGCTTTTGGGCAATAATTTTGATATAATGTTCCTTTAGTCTAAGGACATTGAGTACATTCTGAATGACTTGTTTTGTGATTTATTCTTATTGGTAGCATACTGTATGGCACAAAGGTTATTGATGTCACACTGGTTTATATATTCAAAAGTGGATGTTAAACACCAGTTAAAAATTCACACTGTGCATTAAAAGTATTTTGCTACCAGGAAATTTAAATAAATGAGAAACAGTGTTTATATAATAATTGTTTTTTCATAAGTAAGTCTGCTTTGATGAAAAAAAAAGTTTTCCTATTTCTCCAAAGAAAATGATACTTAAGTCACTAATCTTGGAGGAAGTTTTAATATCCCATTTTTCATGTCAGTTATTAAAAGATGAGGTTAGTTGGACAGTAAAAAAATGTTCATGAAATAAGAATTTTTACAAGAAAAATGTAAACAATTTCAATTAATTTTATAGAAATGTATGGAAACAAAGATGGAACAATACCTGCTACTTTTCAGATTCTTTATCTGATTGGCTGGAAACCTGATGAAACACAGGTAAGTCTGAAATTATTAATGTATTATCCCCTCCAATTACAGAACAGTTTATTTTCAACAAGAAACAACCTCATGGTACTTCAGTCATACATTCTGTGAGAATTAACTATTAAGCTTTACATTACTTGTATAGTTGATAAGTTTTATTTCTAGCCATTATTATAATAACAGAGATACAACTTGAAGCATTCAACATGAAATGAGTACTTATAGATTTGATCAAATTATTAAGTCTCAGATATAGAGTGCACAAATGAAATGACATTTCTGACAGCAAAGAATGTACATATCATACCTACTAATGGACTGAATTTATTATCTTTGCAGGATTTTCCTTATACAACCACTAGTCCTAACATTTGCCACATTCCTGTTTTAATTAACTTTAAAAACAACTTCAATGTGGTTTTTCCATGCATATGTTGTTAATAGATGTACTACAAATTAGCCAAATTTATTATATGAGTCTTGCATACTTTCAGGCTAAACCAGCAAAGAGAGGATCGGGTACTATGTCTATGAAAGACATAAGCAACTTGGATCAGCTAAGCAAGAAGTGGAATAAAGAATTGGACAATGACAATAAATAGGACTTTATTATTTTTCTTTTACAATTGAGAAAGACAACTATTGTAATTTTAAGTACATAAAACAACTTGCTATGTTATTTTGTTGTGTAATTTTAGTAATGATCCTTGAATAAGTGGCTTATGCCCTGGATCCACACTTGATGGTAAAGTAGAGAACATAGTCTAGAAAGGATTGTTGTTATTGAATGTTAGATATTCATAAAACATAATAAGTTTTGAGAAGTAAAATAGTTATTTAAACAAATTTTATAACACACCTACATTCAGTAGTTGTTAATTGGGAAAGTAATCCTAAAAAACATTTTTATTAAAGTTTATACTAACCCTTCGCAGACCACACCTACATATCAAAATTTAAAATGCTAACCATTTAACTGAAAAATATTTTAGAACTGATACTGTTATTTATTGTAATTCACACACACACTTCTGTGACAATTTTACTCTATAAATTACACCTTTTTTTTTACATCCTAAGAAACTATTATACCTTGAGAATAAATCTTTTATTCATAAATTTTCTTCTCTGTTTGAGATTTATTATTATTATGGGCCTACATTTTCACCCTTTTATAATGTTATAACATAGCATGTAGTCTAAACAACTGTTAAGAAAATGGTTAGACACAGTTCCTGTAGAGTAAGACGTTAGGTTTACTGAGTACAATAGGTAGAGGCAAAATGTTCCAATGACACAAATCCTTATTTATCAAATAATGTACATAAATATAAACTATATTTGACCTGATGCCATTTTGTAAGGTCAGATTCTAGGACACTGATAAATCTGTCAGTTTCTACAGTTTTACAGCAGGAGCTAAAGAAGCTGATTTGATATATAAAATAGAACTTTGTAATTAATATTTAAAAACTGAATTCTAAAATGAAGTGGAGTTTTTCAAAAGTGTCTAATGACAAAATTTCTGAAAATTCATAATACAACAATTAAATCAAATTGTTTTTTAAGCCAAAACTATGTACTATTTAGTGACGTAGTTCTAGGTTTCATACAATTTGGTTGTGTATTTCTATTGTAAGAGCAAAAAAAAAAAAGAATAATATTGGTGACACCCCTCAAATCTGAAAAGGGATTAAATTGGTGCTAACATTAAAAAAATATAAACAACCTACCACTGCCTTAGTGACGTGTGTTGACATGTAACCTAGCACCATTGTGGCAGTATTGTGGGCCCAAAGTACCTCCACTAGAGAAAGAGTAGGAAAATAGAAATATCAATATGTAAATATATAAGAATCTTAGTAATATTCTAATTGTATATGAATATTAGTTTATCTCTTTGATTGAAGTGCTAGCAAACATGTTACAACTTTCTGGTAAAGTGATAAGTTTCAAATAATTGTAGTTTGTCTAGTGAATTTTATTTAAAAAACAAAAAATATATATACAAGGTTTCACATGATATAAATATTTCATGGAATATTACATATTTAGTCATTCTGCTGTAATATTTTCTTTGCAAACTGAGCCTCAATTTAAATCTGTAACTGAGATAAACATGTGATATCTACATATACCGCTTCCTGAAAGTACCAAGTTTGTGATCAACTCAGTAGAAACTGACTTTCCTCTAATCCAATCTAGTTCACTATATACTTACTGTAACCATTATTACAGTAGTTTTATTTCATAGCACGTATTTCTTTGCAATCTCCTACAATGCAAGTCCTGAAAATTTCTTATAAATTAATATTATACAGAATTGTTTTGTCACTTCATTGTCATCTATTCTATACAAAAAGGACAGAAGAAATTCTTATAACTTATTCCTACATAAATGTAAACTGTATTCAGGAATTCACAACAAATAAATCATGAATAGTGTCCGAGACAAGTAAGTAAAACAGTACAAATAAAATCCGAGAACAGTCTAAAAACTTTGTAAGTAAATATTATTAATTAATCTTACAAAATTTAGTAAAACCATAATGTGAAATAAAATTAAAACAACATTTTGTCAGTTCATAAAGATATAGTGCAACAAACACCCTTTTAGAGATACAACAGTAAAAAAAATATATGCATAAGAAATTGTATTTTTAGAAGTTATGGGCTTTACTAAGAATCAGCTAGGGAAAAAAAAAGTGTCTGGAAAAACTGTTGAACTTGAATACGTTACAGTTATACTATAATTGTGTGGTATCAATAGCTATGAGACTGCCACAAGACCTGAAGCCTTAGAGTATTTTCTAGATGCACACAAACTTATTACAATTACTTAATGCCAAAGTTTCTAATAATATGTATGAGTGTACATATATTCATTCAGTATTTATTGTGAAGTACTTCTAAGTAAACTGATTACTCATCTACTGATGTCACTGTTTAAAATGCCCAATTAGAACTACATGTTTTGAAGGTGGAATACTGCCACTGATCTTGTATACCAGTAACTATGTTAAAACCTTGTGGCTATGGTGCATGGTTTCTTATGAATCACTTCAAGGACTGTGCCCATGAAACAAAAAAACCACATTGATAAAAGATCTATCCAGCACCTGATAGAAGAAAACACTGAACTATTTCATGTTTATAGAAATCATTCTAAATGCAATCTCATTTCTATTCTAATATTACAAAATACACCATCTTATAGGAACAGAACACTATTGGAGACACTTTGAAATATTTAGTCAAGAAAGCTGATAGACTGTTGAGTTATGAACCAACCAACAACTATGCTGAAACATGTATGCATTTGACTACAAAATTTCCTGGTGACAAACAATTCTGTTGATCAAACATATGGGTATATCATTTCAATTGTCAAGCTGCTAGATTGTCATATCAATGAGGAATGAAGCATCATTCCTGGGCATCGAATAAAGTCGCCACAAAAAAACCCTCAATAGTTGTAAAGCCCTTTGTAATCCAGCATGAAACTAGAATGTAGATGATGACTTTTGACAGATGGGTGGAAAAAAAAGCAATATGAAGCAAGAAGAAAAATGCTGAATGGCAACCAATATTATGGCACTAATGCCTAACTGCCAAATCTTCAGTATGAACATCTAGAAGAAAGAAAATGAGTTTATCAAAGCTTTACAACTGAATGAAGAAAAACCCAACTGGTTGAATGTACTGAATATTTGGAATAGTGTCAAGAAAGAAAGAAAAGACTAACATAATATTGCTTTAGTGAAATATGCAAGATGCATGAAACAACATAATTTAACTCTCTCAACATGGGCTTAGTGAATTTGACTAACCATGTGACCTATTTGTACTCATTTATAGTTTTGATACTACTAACTTTTAATATAGTATGTATATCTTCACAACATTTAGCAGACTTTCAGTAAACATTATGTCTCACATACAAAATATCATATTTTTAGTGAAGTATTTTCAATGAACTAATAATAATAGATTTGTCCTTGAATATAGAGTATTTTTTTAACTAGTCTGCATGCAAAGTAATTTTCATGTTAAGATTAAAAATACTTTTCTTCATCTTAAAAACCTCCTAGGTAAATTTCAAATGTTTGTTTTCAGTAAAACTTTATATTTTATCTGTTATTTTTTCTACCCTAACTCTATACAAGGGTGGTCAATTTCACTGACCTTGTAACCACCAAAAAAAAAAAAGTCAAAATAAATCTAAATTACCGTTTCTTTTTCTAGAATGATTTCAAATTGTAACATGAAACTACATTAGTTTAATCTAAGTAGCATTAAACTCATAACAGTATACATCTATTTATACTTAAATTTTATTGTTTGATTGCCCCTTGAGCTGTCTAACTACTATTCACACTATTATAGGTTGTAAATCACTTAGGGAACATAGAGCTCATGCTATGCTACTGAAGTATATTACCCACTTGCATGCTTGTGAAACATTTTTATTATATTATTATTTATTTTACCTTAACTAACCTAAAGAGATCCCTATTTACACATTTGAGTTACTTTTATAATAATAAATATGAAAACAAAAAATAAAGTATTCACCCAGGTCTCCTTTTTTTTTGCTGTCAACTGTCGATGACCCTTAACTCTACATTTTTTATACTAATGGTAGTAATGCACTAAATAATTTTTATTTAATTAAATAATGCACTAAAGAAAATAATTAATAACATGCAAAAAGCAGACAATTTCCCCTAACTATCACAATCTTTTTGGCTTTCTTACTATGCGACAAGAGCTGTTACAAATTCATCCAAGCTAGTCATTATCTTTCCCGTAGGAACGAAGCTTGAACTAACTGAGAAATTGACAATTCTCTGTTCAGAAAACAAAGTAATATAACACATCATTTGACAGATAAAAACCTGAAAGAGAGGATGTGACAGGTGGGTGTGGCAAGAGGGGTCTGATTTTCTATTTGATGGTTCATTAACCAAACAAGATTGAAAAGC